AAGGTAGTCTCACTATGTAGCATTGGAACTTGCTCTGCAGGCCAGGCTGGGTTTGAACTCATAGAGATCTGTCTAGCTCTGCCTCCCATGTGCTGGGATTAAAAGTGTGTATTACCATTATCCCTTCTTGATAATAGTTATTCTGATAGAACCTCAAAGTAGTTTTAATTTGCATTTCCCTGATGGCTAAGGACACTGAACACTTAAAAATGCCTGTTTGCTATTTACATTTCTTTTGTTCATTTCATTAGACCTTTTGTTGATTGACAATTTTATTTTTGCTTTAGTGTTCAACTTTTTTGATTAAACAGATAAAGAACTATTCTATCCCCTGATCTATATTAACCCCTGTCTGGTCTAGCTGGCTAAGATTTTCTCTTATCCTGTGGGCTGTCTGTTTGCTCTACTACCTAAGTAGTTTCCTTTGCTATGCAGAAACATTTTAGTTTTATGCAGCCCCATTTATTAATTCTTGGTTTTTTCCTGTACTATTGGAATTTTATCTGAAAATCATTTGATTATTCCTGTGTCCTGAAGTGCTCTCTCTGTTTTCTGTTTCAGTGTCTGTGTTTCTGGTTTTAATTTAAATTTGATCCACTTTGAATGGACTCTTTTACAGATACAGCTTTGTTCTTAAAAAAAAAAAGTGGACATCCAATTTTGCCAGCACCATTTATTAGATAGGCTGTCTTTTTTCTAGTATATGATTTTAATAACTTCATCAAAAATTAGGGGGCCATGGCTGTGTGGGTTTTTTTCTGAGTCCCCTGTTCTGTGTCATTGGTATATAAGTCTGTTTTGTTGTGCTAGTACCAGGCTGTCTTTGTCACTGTGGCTCTTGGTATAATTTGAGGTCAGGTATTGTGACACCTCTGGCTGTGTTCTTTCTGTTACTGATGAGAAATACTAAGATTAACAGAATAAATATCTTAAGACAGGATTGAAGACAAACCAGCTGGGTTCTACTGATACTTATGGGATTATTAATTAAACAGGGTCAAGTATTTGCCCATGAGTAAGACTTCAGCTAAGAACAAAAAGGAAAGTACTCTGGCTTCGATAGAACAGAAGTAAGCATGAAGGTACGTCCTTTTAAAAACCTGCATTAATATATATTATCTTACCACCTGCATTGATATATATTATCTTACCACCTGCATTGATATATATTATCTTACCACCTCTCTAACTTTGGGCTTAAG